TAAAAGTGAGACATTTTATGCATGGCTTAATCCTCTTCTTTGGAGTAACAAGGGGCTGTGTGATTTTAAGCCCCTTCTCTGCACTGTTGCCTGGGGTCGAAGCCCTTAGAAGTGCTTGAATGCCTATATAAAACTGCCACTTTTTCTCTGTGATCCAAAGAGACACTCATATGCCAGTCTCTTCTGCACCCAGAGCCCAGAGGTTTTGAATGCAGTCCCTTGGATGGAAGCTTTAAAAGGTGGGACCCAGGCCGGACTTGGTGGCTCAACCTGTAATCCCAGCGCTTTGGGAGGCCGAGGTGAGTGGATTGCCTGGGCCCGCGGGTTTGAGACTAGCCTGGGCAACTTGGCGAGACCTCATCTCTACAATAAATCAAAAAAATTAGCCGGGCATGGTAGCACACACCTATAGTTCCAGCTACTTGGAAGGCTGAGGCGGATTGATCGCCGGAGCCCAGCAGGTCGAGGCTACAGTAACCGGGAGCGGCCACTGCACTCCAGTCTGGGTGACAGAGTGAGACTCCAACTCAAAAAAAAAGTTGGGACCCTTGATGTGTGGACATACTTCTAGGAAGGGTTAATAGATCTGGAATTATCACTGGGGTGAGCCATGTGAGCAGACTTGAGAAGTGCTCATCTGGTTGATTATCAGGCTGCTGGCCAGGCTAATATTTGCCTGCTCCTTTAACTCCCTGATGCAAGTTAGTTAGAAGCCAGGATGCCAAGTAGCTACTTGAAGAGTGTGTCATAAAGCCCTTTTGGGGAATCCTAGGGAGCTGCATTTTTTAAAGCTCCTTCTCTTCACTGCTTCTGGAGGCCGAAGCTCCTGGAAGCACTTAAGTGCTTTTTTCCTATGGTCTAGAGAGACTCATGTGTGTCCCAGCTTTTCAGTTCTCAAGAGTTAGTGAATTAAGGTCCAAACTGTGGATGTGAGGTCATCTTCACAGGGAGAAGGTGTTGGGGGTTCCTTTCTCTATCGTATGCCACAGTGCCCAGGGCAGGGTCCATGCCTGAATGTGCCTCAGCTTTTTCTACCCATTCAGGGTGGTTGTTTTCTCAGCTGCCTGGTGGATAGGAGTCTCTCAACTGGTTTCTAGCTTTCTCTTAGAGGGAATTGATCTGTGAACAGATGCTTATTTGGTGCATCTGTGGGTAAGCAGTCAGGAGCTTCCCATTCCAGCATGTTGCTGACATCATCTCTTTCACCTTCACTTTTGAACTACCTGTCCGAAGAGAAACACACTAAAAAGTTCCTTTAGTGCCGGGAGTGAGTCCACTTCACTCAGTTTCACCAAAGCCACAAAATATCTCACATACCATGCAATGTATTGTCCTAGTCTCCTTTAGTACTTTTGACTAAATACATTTACTAAGAATAAACTCATTGGAGGTAATTGCTTCACAGCAAGTTCTTTTTTTTTTTTTGAGTTGGAGTCTCACTCTGTCGCCCAGACTGGAGTGCAGTGGCCGCTCCCGGAGCCCAGAAGCCTCTACCTGCTGGGCTCCGGTGATCCTTCCACATCAGCCTTCCAAGTAGCTGGAACTACAGGCATGCGCTACCACACCTGGCTAATTTTTGGATTTATTGTAGAGATGAGGTCTCGCCAAGTTGCCCAGGCGGGTCTCGAACCCTTGGGCTAAGGCAATCCACTCACCTCAGCCTCCCAAGGTGTGAGCCACCGAGCCCGGCTCACAGCAAGTTCGTAACAAAATATCTCTCTGAGGTAAGTTGTCTCAACACAGGAAATATTTCTGCTCACTTTCTTATACAGGCACCCCTTGTCTTATTGTGCTTTGCTTTGTGATGCTTTACTGTATTTTTTACAAATTGAAGGTTTGTGGTATCCCTGAAGTCATATTTTAATCTCTCACAATACTTAAACTTTTTTTATTCTCAATATATCTGTTATGGCAATCTGTGATCAGTGATCTTTGATGCTACTATTGTAATTGTTTTGGGGTGCCATGAACTGTGCGCATGTAAGACAGTGAATTTAATCAATAAATGCTGTATGTGTTCTGACTGCCCCACTGACCAGTCAGTCTCCATCTCTCTCCCTTTCCTAGGGTATCTCTATTCCTTGAGACACAGCAATGTTGAAATCTGGTCAGTTAATAACCTTGCAATGGTGTCCAAGAGATCAAGTGAAAAGAATACACGTCTCTTACTTTAAATCAACAACTAGAAATGGTTAGTGAGAAAGACATATCAAAAATCCAAATAGGCTAAAATCTAGGCCTTTTGTCCCAAACAGTTAGCCAAGTCTTGAATGTAAGGAAAAGTTCTTGAAGGAAATTAAATGTGCTACTCCAGGGAGTTTCACACAAATGATAAAAATAGTGAAATAACCTTACTGATGGTACAGAGAAAGTTTTAGTTGGCCTGCGTAGAAGATCAAACCAGCCATGCTATTCCTTTAAACCAAAACCTAATCCAGAGCAAGGTTCTAACTATTCAGTTCTGTGAAGGCTGAGAGAGGAGAAAACTGCCAAAGAGAAGTTTAAAGCTAGCAGAGTTGGTTTGTGAGGTTTAAGGAAAGAAGCAATCTTCATAACATGAAATTGCAGGATGAAGCAGCAAGTGCTGATGTAGAAGCTGCCACAACTTATTCAGATCTAGCTAACTGATGAAGGTGTCCACATTAAATGACACATTTTCAATGTGGACAAAACAGCCTTCTTTTGGAAGAAGATGCTGTATAGGACTTTCATAGCTAGAAAGAATCCAGGGACTGGTTTTAAAGCTTCAAAGGCCAGACTGAATCTCTTTTTAGGGGCTAACTCATGTGGTGATGTTAAGCTGAAGCCAGTGCTCGCTTACTATTCTGAAAATCCTAGGGCTGTTAAGAATTATGCTAAATCTTCTTTGTCTGTGCTCTAGAAATGGAACAAGCCCGAATGATAGCCCATCTGTTTATAGTATGGTTTACTGAATAGTTTAAGCTTACTCTAGAGCCCTACTGCTCAGAAAAAGATTGCTTTCTACTGCTCATTGACAGTGCACTAGTCACCCAAGAGCTCCGATGGAAATATACAAGGAGATTAATTTTGTTTCATGCTTGCTGACTCAACATCCAGTCTACAACCCATGGATCAGGAGTAATTCTGACTTTTTTTTTTGAGTTGGGGTCTCACTCTGTTGCCCAGGCTGGAGTACAGTAGCATGCTCACAGCTCACCACAGCCTCAACCTCCTGGATTCAGGCAGTTTCCTCACCTCAGCCTCTCAAGTACTGGGATTATTGGCATGTCCTACCATGCCTGGCTATGTTTTTTTACTTTTTGTAGAGGTGAGTTCTCTGTGTTACCCAGGCTGGTCTTGAACTCCTGGGCTCAAGCACTTCTCTTTCCTTGGCTTCCCAAAGTGCTGGGATTACAAGTGTGAGCCACCATGCCCAGCCCTGACTTGCAAGTTTTATTATTTAATAAATATATTTCTTAAGGCTATAACTGCCATAGATAGTGATTGGGGCAAAGCAAATTGAAAACCTTCTGGAAAGAACTCATCGTTCCAAATGCCATTAAGAACATGTGTGAGCCGGGCTCGATGGCTCAGCCTGTAATCCCGCACCTTGGGAGACTGGGGTGAGTGGATTGCCTAAGCCCGCGGGTCCGAGACCCGCCTGGGCAACTTGGCGAGACCTCATCTCTACAATAAATCAAAAAATTAGCTGGGTGTGGTAGCGCGCGCCTGTAGTTCCAGCTACTTGGAAGGCTGAGGCAGAAGCATTGCCAGAGCCCAGCAGGTCGAGACTGCAGTGGCTGGGAGCGGCCACTGCACTCCAGTCTGGGCAACAGAGTGAGACTCCAACTCAAAAAAAACAAAAACAAAAAACGTGTGTGATTCATGGGAGGAGATCAAAATATCAACATTAAGAGTTTGGAAGAGCTGGACTCGGTGGCTCAGCCTGTAATCCCCCGCCTTTGGGAGGCTGAGGTAAGTGGATTGCCTGAGCCCGCGGGTTCGAGACCCGCCTGGACAGCGAGACCTCATCTCTACAATAAATCAAAAAATCAGCCAGGCGTGGTAGCGCATGCCTATAATTCCGGCTACTTGGAAGGCTGAGTCGGAGCCCAGCAGGTCGAGGCTGCAGTGGCCGGAAGCGGCCACTGCACTCCAGTCTAGGTGACAGAGTGAGACTCCAACTCAAAAAAAAGAGTTTGGAAGATTCCAACTGTTATGGATGACTTTGAGGGATTCAAGACTTAAGGAAGTAACTGGAAATGTGGTTTTAAGCTATAAAGTTAAATAGTAGTGTGTCACAGCAGACAATATGCAACAAAGAAATGGAAGAGGACTGAGGATACTTGAGATCTGCATGTGATTTTGGGTGCACGTGATTGAAGAAAGGAATGGGAAGGAAAAGGTTGGGGAGCTTTCAAAGCAGAAATGGATCTTTCATTGGCAGTCGGGCTATTGGATGTTTGGGGCATGATGGGATACTGATTGCATTGGCAAGCACTCTGTCAATGTTATGTGTAGAGTGACATGTGGGGAGTCTAGGGGGATATCTATGGAATGGACCAGAATGGTGGTGGAGTGAAACTGGAGGTGTGAGGGAGGCATGGTACAAAGATGGATGTGCATGAGAGGAGAGAGTGTGAACTGATGGTTCTAGGGCCCTGTGATTGGGGGCTTAAGTGAGAAGAGTGAGCCTAGGTTCATATCTAAGATTCCTTACCTGGAATTCACCAAAGAAATTGGCTGGCTCAGAGTATAAATTGCATTTATCTCTCAACCAACCTGTTGTTAAAGTGGGATGACACAGTGATCACTGGGGTGATCAAGAGAGAGTGAAGACCAGTAGTACTAGTATCTGGCATTTGACTTGGGGACCTGAGAGGTAGGTAAGCAAGATGTTGTGGATAGATAGTGGGGATTGTTGATTGTGAGGCTTTTCATGGACCTTGCTGTCCCTGTCTTTTCAGGGCTGTGTGATGTTTGAGGACGTGTTTGTGTACTTCTCCCGGGAAGAATGGGAACTTCTTGACAATGCTCAGAGATTCCTGTACCAGGATGTGATGCTGGAGAACTTTGCACTTTTAGCATCACTGGGTAAGGTTCTCATACCCACCCATCTAACTTTTTCCTTTTCTCCAGGAGCTGCTCTGTTCTTCCCATGGTTGGATCATGAGCACTGCTTTCCTTCACTGGTTTCCTGGAGTAGGTGCCGTGGATGCCAGTGCTAAGCTGTGTGGACTATCATCACTTCTTGCTGAGCACCCCTGAAACCACGCATCCCAGGGTTTGGGGTCACAAGACTTATGATTTTCCCAGTGGAGCTAATAAGGTTTGGTCACTTTCTGGGCTGGTGAATCTGTCTGAAATTATGGCATTTCTGTGCCCAAAGTTCTGCCCCTTTCTCCAGGTGACATTTTTTAGAACCTTGCTGTGCTAGGACGTATAGGCACTTACATAGTCATTACTTATAGGGACCTTTGAGCTATTCCTGCAAAACTTGCCTTCAAGATTTTTTTTGGTTTGTTGTTGTTGTTGTTGTTTTTACCTGTGATCTGTCATAGGGTGGGTTTCCCTGGGCCAGTGCTGGCTGCTCATCTGTTCTGGCTTTCCCTTAGGAATTGCATTTTCCAGATCACATGTAATCATGCAACTAAAGGAAGGGGAAGAGCCCTCGGTTCCTGCCCAAATGAATGTGACTCCAGCCACAGAAAGAGAGGCCCTGAGGGGACCTGGACCTGGTGAGTGGACATCCAGGAAGGGCACAATGTCAAGGCTGGCTTCAAGAATAGCAACATTGGTTCATACCAGTGTTTGTTTCCAAGGCCAGTGACCATACAACATTCCTACCTGACCATCTCCCTTCTTGACACTAAAACTTATCATTTCCAGTCTGATTTTTCTAGCCCTTTCCCATACAGCACCTCCTTGGTGTCTACCCCACACCCATGCCTTTCCACTATTCTGTCTGCATTTTTGACAATGGTGACCTATACTTAATGTTCATGAGATGCACACACATCCTTAAATAATTGTGAACGCCAACTACTCACTTGTAATTGGATGTTCCTGAGCCTGGACACGTTATGCATAGCACTCATCTGTCATCTATGCATAGCCAAGGTCCTGCTGGAAGTGGTTTGTTCTGTTCCATCCTTGTATCCTGGCCCTTCATTGGGTCTACCCAGAGGCTCAGTACCTCATAGAAACCCCTTCCTCAACCTGACCATGCCTGTCATCCTGAAAACAGTCCCATGAATTCATTTCTGGGTGTGTCAGACACACATTTCCATTGGGGTTGCTGCCTACCACTAGCCAATGTGCACTTCATCAGCATTTCTGTGCTTTCAGGTTGTTGGCACGGAGTGGAGGATGAGGAGGTGTCCTCTGAGCAGAGTGTTTCTGTAGAAGAAGTGTCACAGATTATGATTCCTATGACAGAACTGCAGACCCACCCATGTGACATATGTGACCCAGTATTGAAAGATATCTTACACCTGCCTGAATACCAAGAGGACAAATCCAGGCAGAAACCATACTCATGTGGGGCATGTGGGAAGGAATTCTGGTTCAGTACAAACTTTGACCAGCACCAGAAGCAGTCTGGTGAAGAGAAACCATTTCGAGGTGAGGAGGTCAGAGACTCTGTGAAAAGCTGCAGAGTCCATGTGCCAGAGAAGACCCTCACACGTGGGAAAAGTGAGACGAACTTTTTAGCCATGTCTGGTTATCTTCCGCACCAGGCCCCTCACAGCAGAATGAAACCCCATAAGAGTACCGAGCTTGGGCTGGGCTTTTGCACTGGACAGAGGTATCACAAGTGTGGTGAATGTGGGAAAGCTTTCACCCGCAAAGACACACTTGCTCGGCATCAGAGAATCCACACTGGGGAAAGGCCTTATGAGTGCAGTGAATGTGGGAAATTCTTTAGCCAAAGCTATGACCTTTTTAAACACCAGACAGTTCACACTGGAGAAAGACCTTATGAGTGCAATGAATGTGGGAAGTTCTTTAGACAAATCTCTGGCCTGTTTGAACACAGACGAGTTCACACAGGTGAAAGGCTTTATCAGTGCAGCAAATGTGGGAAATTCTTCAGCAGTAAGTCTAATCTCATTCGACACCAAGAAGTTCACACAGGAGCCAGACCTTATGAATGCAGTGAATGTGGAAAAGAGTTCAGTCGCAAACATACACTTGTTCTGCACCAGCGAACTCACACTGGAGAAAGACCTTATGAGTGCAGTGAATGTGGAAAGGCCTTTAGCCAAAGCTCCCATCTGAATGTACATTGGAGAATTCACAGCAGTGATTATGAGTGCAGCAGATGTGGGAAAGCTTTTAGCTGCATCTCTAAACTCATTCAGCACCAGAAAGTTCACTCTGGAGAAAAACCTTATGAGTGCAGCAAGTGTGGGAAAGCCTTCACCCAAAGGCCAAACCTCATCAGGCACTGGAAAGTACACATTGGGGAAAGGCCTTATGCATGCAGCGAATGTGGGAGAGAGTTCATACGGAAACAGACACTTGTTCTGCACCAGAGGATTCATGCTGGAGAAAGCCTTAAGAGTACACTTTGACCAGTGCCCCTAACTTATTGTGCATTGGAGAACTAGCCATCATTATGAGTACAATACATGTGGAAAAGCCTTCACGCAAAGGCTGAACCTTACCCACTATGGGAAAGTTCACACTGGATATGGGCTTTAGCAGTTCAGGGAATGTGCTGTCTCTGTTTAGTCTAACAGCTCACCCCAGTGTGGAGCTCTGAGAGTAGCCTTTGTGAGGGAACTGTCAGAATTGGAACCTCATGGATATGAACATTCATAGCTGGGAGATTTCCTGTGAGCACCAAGTACATGCGATGCTTTCAGGAGTTGTGTTGCACTTTCTGAACAGCCTTTGCTGGAGCAGGAGCCATCTGCCACTACCATCTGGCAGAATCATACTGTGTGTGCCAGTCACCTCAGCATGCTTAATTAGAGGCAGATCTCTATTCTGTCCCCAGTCCTTGAAAGCAGTTGTAAATGATCTCACAGCTCTTCGGGGGTCCTCGTTCCCTCTCTTTTGACGTAAACAGCATGGATATAATAAGCTTTGTTCCAAGAGGACACAAGAACGTTCAGCAGGTAGCTTGTAGAGGCTTACGTTCATGGAGTTTTTGGTTTCATGTAATGCTTATACAGTCTCCAAGTCACCCAGCCCTGGAACTGCCTGCCTCACATTCCTCATGTTTTTATGATAATAAAGGCCTGTTATTTAAGACACCTTTAATCTTGGGGGTTCTCTTTATTGTGTGGAATGTATTGAAGGAACAGTTATGTTCTATCAGCATGGAAGCGTAAACAGCTTTTGTGAGAGTCCCTGGATTTCTTTGCCTTAGAGAGGACAGTATGATGGCAGAGAACAGCTCTGACTCCAGTTTTGACCTAATTTACCTTGCTTCCCAAGGCCTTCTAGGAAAGACTGCAGGGGGTTTTTTTGGTTTGATTTTGCTTTGTTTTGTTTTTGAGTTGGAGTCTCACTCTGTCACCCAGGCTGGAGTACAGTGGCACGCTCATGGCCACTGCTGATCCTTCCGCCTCAGCCTTCCAAGTAGCTGGAACTACAGACGTGCCCCATCAAGCCTGGCTAATTTTTTGATTTTTTGTAGAAATGAGGTCTCACCAAGTTGCCCAGGCTGATCTCGAACCCGTGGACTCAGACGATCCTTTCACCTCGGCCTCCCAAAGTGCTGGGATTATAGGTGTGAGCCACTGCGCCCAATCATGTGGACTGGATACCAGTTTTACTGCATCTCCTCTGGGTTTGGAAGTAACCCCGAGGAGAGGTCAGCTGCAACAACCTCTAGAGCATCTGGGAGCAGCATGAGTTTGGTCCCTTGTTCCCATTCAGTGTTCTATGTTCTCAAGCAATTAAGGGGAAGCTGGCTCCTAATATCTGTGAAGGAGCCTTAGTTCTAAGTAGGCAAGTGTCCTTGTCTGGAAGACCTCCAGGAGCCAGGTGGAAACTAATTGGTACAGAAACACTGAGTGTGACTGATACACACTGGAAGGGGTGTGCCACTTCTAAAGATGCATACTTAGATGTTCCCATACTATGACTATCCAGGATGAGAATGGACAGAAAGTCTCAGAACCTCCAGAGCTATGTCTCTCTCATGAACAGTGGTTTTGTTTGTTTATGACAAATCTAAACATTCTGTGGATTCCCACAGATTCTAGATGGCTCAACTTAAGACCATTACTGTACAGGCAGGAAGACCGAGATTAGGAGAAGGGAGATCTAATATTTCAGGAATATGACTTTGTGATTTATCCAGTGTCCTTGGTGAATTATGTCAAAATAGCTTTTGTTGGTACCACTTTTTGCTGTCACTGAGGCAGGACTGCTCCTCCCAAAGCATGAGAGAGATGGTAGAGTCACTATAGAGTTGCCTGTAGGATTTGTCTGTGTTTTTCTGATTTCTTAAGGTGGATAGACACTTACTTGAGAACTCTCTTCTATTATAGTAATTTAGTCTACAAATTTCCCTGTAAGTAGTACTTTAACAGCATCCCCCAAAGTTTGATATAGTGTATATTTATTTTTTTGTGAGAGAATTAGTTTAAAATTAGATTGGAAAAGCTCTAACTTTTTTTTTTTTGAGTTGGAGTCTCACTCTGTCGCCCAGATTGGAGTACCTGCTGGTCTCTGGTGATCCTTCCGCCTTAGCCTTCTAAGTAACTGGAACTACAGGCACGCGCTACCACACCTGGCTAATTTTTTTTTATTTATTGTAGAGATGAGGTCTCACCAAGTTGCCCAGACAGGTTTCGAACCTGCAGGCTCAGGCAATCCACTCACCTCAGCCTCCCAAAGTGCTTGAATTACATTCTGAGCCACCGAGCCCAGCTGAAAAGCTCTAACTTTATCTCTAGAGAGTTTTAGAAGTCTTACTTTGACATTTCACCAATTTAAGTGCAGTGGGCACCAGCCTATTATGTGCTGTTTAATGCCCAAAAAAATTCCATGACAATACAGAGAGCCAGTTTGGTTGCTGATGCTTTCCAATTGGTATAACTGGTTAGGTGTAGGCACTCTGGCTCGACTGTGTTACCAGAAGGCCATAAAATCCCTACTGGGATACTCAGACTTGAGCTCCTGAAGCCAGGATTCATCACTCAGATAATGATGGCTTGCTGTGGAAGTGAATCACTTGAGTATGTATGAATAAGAGTCTGGGAAACTGTGCCTAGATGTCTGTCTGATTCCCAACGTGGGCCTACATTCTTTTTCTCTTGCTGTACCTTATCCTTTGCCTTTAACAAAACCTCATGTGAGTATGTCCTGTGGAGTCTTTTGAATATTTTCTTTTTTTTTTTTTTTTTTTTAGTTGGAGTCTCACTCCGTCACCCAGGCAGGAGTACAGTGGCATGCAAGCCCATGGTCACCCCAGCGCCAACCTTCTGGGCTCTAGCGATCTTTCCGCCTCAGCCATCCAAGTAGCCAGAATTACAGGCGTGTGCTACCACGCCCGGCTAAGTTTTTGATTTATTGAAGAGACAAGGTCTTGCCAAGTTGCCCAGTCTGGTCTCGAACCGTGGGCTTAGGCAGTCCATTAGGCTCGGCCTCCCAAAGTGCTGGGATTAGAGGTTGAGCCACCAAGTCCAGCCACGAATATTTTCAAATGTGAAAACATTTGTGAAATGTTTTCAGTTGGTAATAAGGATGGTGTATTTGATATTACTCTTGAGTCTAATTCAAATAATAATGGCTAAGGGGTTACTGGGTAAAAAGAAAGATGGCTAAGTGTGGTGAGGAAGAATATTTGTGAACAGTTTGGCTTCCAGTCTATCTTGGGTTGAGGTTGCAGAAGTTAAGTGATTTACTTGCACACAGGAGGGAGAACACATAAATGAGCCTGGAGTCTGTATGTCGGGGGGTTATGGGGGAGGGGTATATCTAAATGGATTGCAAAATTCATACTGAGGAAAAGTCAGCCAAGAACGTGGTACCTTGGCTGCTCCGCTTCCCTCATTATAGCAAAAGTAAGGTCATCAGAGAAGCAACTAGAGACCACTGGAGCTGTAGATTCCAGCCTGTGGTTAATTGTAATACTATATCTTTTCCTAACACCATTCCTCTGACCCAGCTGATTAATGTGATGATAAAAGGGGAGACAACAGGATATGAAGTATGATGTTATAGACCTTCTTGTTGAGATCTCTTGAGCAAGACTTAATGGGGGGGCGGGGGGGAGGTAAAATTATTCAGAAGGAAGGTAACTATAAGTAAAAGAGATGGAAGAAATCTCAGGACAACTGAATTGGATATAACTGTTCAGGTGCTTGATTACAAATGGCATTAAGGAGAGGAAGGCCGGGCTCAGTGGCTCAGCCTGTAATCTCAGCACAAGGTGAGTGGATTGCTTGAGCCCACCGGTTCGAGACCAGCCCGGGCAACTTGGTGAGACCTCATCTCTACAATAAAATAAAAAATAGCGAAGCGTGGTAGCGCGCATCTGTAGTTCTGGGCCACTTGGAAGACTGAGGCGGAAGGATCGCTGGAGCCCAGAAGGTCGATGATGAGGTGGCCTGTGAGTGTGCGGGCCACTGCACTCCAGCCTAGGTGAAGGAGTGAGGCTCCAACTCAAAAAAAACAAAAAACAAGGAGAGGAAGATGGGTTGTTATTAAAATTTTGATGGATCACTGTAAGAAACAGTTTATTCAAAGAACTGGGACATTCAGTTCTTCCTAGTCTTGATGGTTTTTTAAAATGTGAAAATTATAAAAAGGAGGCATCTGTAACCTCTTCGGAGCCTGTTCTGATTGTATCCAGGCAGGGAAAGGGGAGTAGTATGACTGAATGAAGGCTGTTCAGGGTCTCATAACCTCTGACTGGGACCCCAAGTTCACTTTCTTTGGTGTGATTGAAATGGTCTGGAGGCAGTGAGAAAATCTTACTACCATTGATGGACCTGTAACTTTAGCTAATGTAGATGTAAAAGACAATGAGTTACAAGACTGTAGTGATACACCTAGAGAAGGCTTGCAGGTAGAAAAAGGCAGTCTATAGAGGAATTTAAAGATAGAAATTATGCCTCACCCTTATCATAATGCATTATTGGAATGGGTATGATATTGCATAAATCCTGTTTTAATTCAGCTTGCTAAATGGGAATCTTTAGAATTACCAAAGCTCACTCAAGTTGTTAATTGATAACAGCATAGGATACCTGGGAAATAAATATTGGCTTGAATTAAGGATCTCTTAGATGCATGTGCTTTATTACTTAAAATTCTCTATTTAATTTTCAGGATGGTCTGGAAAAAAAGGTGATGGATGGGTTATGGAAGACTTGACAAATTGGTGCCCCCCCCATATCAACTGTGCCTGATATGGCATCAACAACTAAAGCTGTGCTACAAACTCAAAGAGATTAGTATTTTGTACTAGATTTGGCTTGTGCCTTCTTTTCCATTAGGAGGCCAAAACCAATTTGTATTTATTAGGGATAGGCCCCAGTATGCATATACTATACCCTCACAAAAACATTTAAATTCTCTAGCTGACACTTGACCCTGGTTTTAAATACCTTTCTGAGACAATATTGGTATATGGGCAAGGAACACATTTGGGGGAGAGAATATAACTACTGTAATTTTGACTTATTTTGTAATGATCACAGTTTTAATTGCTATTTGGTGTAATACTGGTTTATAGGGTAAAATTAATTTGATGGCTTCTAACAAAACATGATAATACTGATAAAGCTTGTAGACTGTATTGAGAAATTGAATTAAAACCTCCACAAGATTTTCTACCCATGGAAGAAGATTGGCTATAAGAGGAACTAAAATTAATTTTGAATTGAATGACTCTGTTGATAACCTTTTTCTTTTTTTTAAGTAGGAGTCTCACTCTGTCACCCAGGCTGGAGTGCAGTGGCACGCTCACAGCCACTACGGCCTTGAACTGCTGGGCTCAGATGATCCTTCACACAGCCTTCCAAGTAGCTGGAACCAGAGATCTGCGCTCAGCTAATTTTTTAATTTATTGTAGAAACGAGGTCTCACCAAGTTGCCCAGCCTTGTCTCAAACCCCCAGACTCAGGCAATCCTTTTGCCTCCGCCTCCCAAAGTGCTGGGATTACAGGTTGGGATTACATGCCTGACAATAACCTGTTTTTAAAGTTTAAATCCTAGTGGTGGAGGGAGGTGAAATCATTACCAGTCTTGCATATGATTATAAACACCTTTGTGCTTGACTTGTTTTCTGAAATTCTTGAAAG